CCCAGGCACACAGCACTGGAAGCTCTGTGTTAAATTACCTCTTGCCCAGACTTTTATTGTGATTAGTTTAGCAGCCCACTGGTTTCATAGGTATTTGTAGTCTGATGAGCTTCAGTAAAAGAACTTTTTAAATCAATGAGGTGGGTTTTTTTTAATCTGATGTCAACCTAGTAATTCCCAACTATAAAAAACCCCACTTTCTCCACAAGCTGTGGGTGCTTTTTCTTGACACATTTCTTTAAATTGATATTTTTATTCTTTTTTCTTCGTTTTACACACAAGCAGGCACAGTTGTGTGGTGTTCTGTGTGTACAACTGGAAGTGAAGGTTTAAAAAAGAAATAAATTGCAGCCTGTTAGGTATAGAGTAGGTTGTACCTACACCTAATTCAGATTGTTAATTAGGGTAACGAGTGTGATGGACTTATGGTGTCCCTCCACAGACCCACCTCCCCAATAAAATGTAGCTCCTTGCAAAAAGGTTTAGAAACCCCTCCCCCCAAAAAAAACTCAGGACTTGTTTAGTTTCCATGGGAAAGGATACTGCTGACTCAAGATTAGGCAATAGACAGTAATGTTGATTACATCAGTGGAAAGAAAACCTTCCTCTCTGTAGTTCACAGTGCACGTTTCACCTGTAAGAGCACCAGGCTGTTAAATGGAGGCGGGATTTTCAGCCACCCAGCACTACAGGAATCATCATCAAAAGCTCTGTTCCAGTTACTTATGTTTGGGAGCTCTGTTCCTGAGCCCTCTGCTCCCAAAGGTCTGGAGATGCAGCTGGGGAAGCTGTGTTCCTCCACATAAGGAGTTTTAGAAGAGTTCTGACCCCTAGTTCTGGCATCTGTTCTTCCTGCAATGGAAACATAAGTGATTGACCCAGGTTAGTGAGGAACCCTTAACCTAATCACTGTTTTTATTTAATAAATGAGCTTTAGCTTTTTAAAAAAAAAAACCCTGTTAAGTCAGTAGTGATTCTGTGTTTCCATGGCAATGGGAGTGGCAGCTGCAGCCCAAAGAAATATTAAAAGCATTTTCTTTCCAGATTCTAAAACAGGGCTGGGAGCTGGCGTGGATCTTGCATAGAGAATAAGTTTGAATAGGCTAAAGCTTATTCAAAGCCTTGGAAAGAGGATGGAAAATCCATTGTGCTTGACTATTAAAAAAAAAAAATCAAAACCTCAAGTTATCCTTAACTGCTAATTTTGCTCAGAGAGGTTTATCTTAAAATAATGTCTCTTTAGAACATCAAAACATAATTGGAAAACCTCCAGACCCTTCAAGAAGGGAAACTTCCCAGCTGTTGCTGTTTTTGTGGTGAACCAGCACATCCAGACCACGTGGCTCTTGTGGCAGAGGTTTCCTCAGAGATCTGCTTCCTTCAGTGTGACATGTTTTAAAGTGCAGTGCTGAATTTCCAGATCACATTTAACTCAGAGGAAAGTAACCCAAGCTGTGTAGGCTTAAACCTGAAGCGTGCTGGAGTTGTTTTGAGCAGCTATGTAAGAAGCTGTGTGGTGTGTTAGTTGAAATGCCAAGCCCCGAAATGGCCTTTTTCATCAGTGTTTTTTGTTTGTTTCACAGGCTGGAGGGAAAGGGGACAAACAACAGGAAAACTTGAAATGATACATTTAACACATTTTAAGGATTTAACCAGATATGCACATTTCTGGGCACGTTCAGGTAGCGCATTTTTTAGATGTTAAGGCAACTGCCTGTAATTTATAGCTACTGAAGAGCAGAGCCGTGTAATTTCACTGCCTGCTGGGTGGAAAATGTAAAATACCTGTAGAGGGACAAGTGCTTCAGACACTTAAAATCAGATAGTGCCATTGTGCTGATGTAAATCAGAGCTGTTTCCCAAGCGTAAAAGCTCTGCAGAACTGCAGTTCAGTAAATCTGTAATTTTAAGCTTGCCAAATGAGTCACAGAAGAACAAAAGATCAGGTTTGTTATAAACAAGCGTAATGAAGCAATCCCCAGTGTGAGAAAACAGCACTGACAGCTGAAGCTTTGAGCTTTCTGTGCTTGGGAGAGGACAAAAGTCTTTCCTGTTCTCTGTGGTTTTTAACTCTTGTTTAATAGTTTATTTAAACTGACTGTGTAGAATTGTCACTGGTTTTTCTTCTAACAGGCTGAGACAGGAGAGTGGAGTCGCTCCCTGTTTTCACTAGTTGTTTCATGTCTGCCTCTCCTCGAACGAGTCAGAGGTTTACACTGACCTCAGTAACGCCTTGTTTCTTCTGAGCAGCCATATCTCCTAGGTTCTCCTGAAGAGTAACCTGTGTGACCTGTCTACCCACAAAAGAATTCTTAGTCATGGGGGTCTGCATCTTAAATCCAAGAATCATATGTGCTCTGTACAATTCCAGTCCCTGAGCTGACATCCTGTGTAGTGAGTGGTAACGTGTCACGTTCAGAGGCCGATGTTCCAATTGCTCTGCTCCTGGGAGGGGGTGCAGGGAGAATGCATCCCTGTGACATCTCCATGTTTAGTTGCCCAGTTTTCTTTCAGTCGTAGAAATAATTATTAATGTCTCTTTGTTCTTATTCACTGGGCTTCCTTACCCTCTCTGTTCCCCCTGCTGAGACTGGAATAGTTTTAAGCTTTCTAAAATATGAATGTCTTGCTCAGAATTTGGCAAAGCTTAATACAGGATTAATTATAAGTAGCCCTTGCTAAAGGGCTAAATGAACTTTTTTCACAAAGGGATTACACTTCGGTGCTAATTTTCCTTCCACAAGTGGATGTGAATTAAACTGAAGGATCTTGTTGTAGTCAATGTGCAACATTAGCTTGCACGATCACCTGTGCTAGGTATTAGGTAATATGTAAATTAAGGGAAAAGGAAGATGAGCTTTCAGTGTTCTTCTAGGAAAGCTGCAGGGATGTTTCCAAGCCTCAACTTGTTTACCATGTTGGATGAGGAATGTGAGGATGCTTGCTTAAATTCTTGGACCCATGGTTGTTCATTCTTCCCTTTTTCTTTGTCTGCTTCACTTCCTTTAAGTCCGTTCTCATTCTTTTATGTCTTCTTGCATTTAATTCACTATATTCAATGACCAGAACATTTGCTCTAGTTTAAATGTTTGGTGAGAATGCAGCTACAGAGAAACCAGGCATCTGCTTCTCTGATGCAAGCTGGCTTACGCTGCATCTATTCAGAGTGGCTACCATTTCATGCTCGCCTTTTTCCCTTACTGTTTTTACAGATGACATCTAAAGTCACTGAAACTGTAAAGCTAGAGAATGTTACTGCTTGCTTCTCCTCCCCCTGCTCCTGCCTTAGTTTTACTTTGTGAGTTTGAAAACATTTATAAAATACTTTTTTTTTTTTTTTAAAGTCACTTTAACTGTTTGAAAAGCTTAAAAAGTGTTTAAAGGACAGCAGTTAAGAGGTGGATCTGGGAAAGTTTCATACCTGGAATTATCTTGGATGTTCTTTTAACCGAATAAATTGCAAATAGATAACTTGCAAATGGATGGCTTGAAGGTTTGCTGGCAAAGTTGCATTTAAACACACTTCAAGGATGTAAGAAATTCCAACCCGTTGTAAAAGTTGCAGTTCATATGTATGCTTTTTGTGTGAAACTCTATTTTATCTTCAGAACAGGCAAGTGAATCACAGGCAGTAGAATATGGCTGGACAAATATCAGAATCTGATCAGATCAAGCAGGTAAGACGCTGTATTTGTGAGTGGTGACTTTGAAGATCGTATATTACTTAGTCATGTAGAGTAAAAGGTGTAAGGTATGGAGAAGGAAAAGAGGTTTAAGTTACCTGAGTTAAGACTAGTTTTGTAGCAAACAAAATTTAAATGTTTGGCCGTTGACAGACACAGTATAGTATCTGATTTCAGTACTAGCACCATTTGGTGCTGAAATCTTCTGACTGATGTAGTGACTTGTCCTTTAAATTTTAGTGTCACCAGATGCCCCATGCAACTGTGTGTAAGAAATTAATGTAGATGGTTTTTTTTAATACTCATTGTCTGTTCAATTTTTATTTGTAGTTCAAGGAGTTTCTTGGAACATACAATAAACTTACAGAAAACTGCTTCTTCGATTGCATAAAGGATTTCACTAGCAGAGAGGTTAAACCAGAAGAGGTAGGTAAAGGTTTCCTGTGCTTTTAATGATCCTTTGTTGGCATTGTTGCGTAGCATTCACATTGCAGAAGAAACTTGAAAGTTTGGATTTTGCCACAAACTAAAAAGCTAGGTAGCAGTAGAGGTGTCTGGTGTGTAGCTTCCAAGTGACAAAGGAAACAAGTTAGTGGAAGGAAGGGAAATAGCTTGTCTGTAGTTTTTCTTCTGCAAGTAAGTCCAAAGGTGATGACAAATGCTTTTGTACACCCCAACAGTCTTTACAACTTTACACTTCTTTACACCCAAACATTCTTTACAACTTTACACTTCTTTACACCCAAACATTCTTTACAACTTTACACTTCTTTACAAAAAGAAACCAACCAACCCAAGCCAAGTGCTGTGGATGTGTTAGACTGTCAGCTACAGACAAGCTATGGGCTAGGACCTCTTGAGGTTTTGCCATTGTCATCTCTTCAGTAAGTACACACAGAGAGAATCTTCCTGATCTCACTGTGAGTATTGGCTGCTTATTGCAATTCTGTGTGTTTCATTCTCTGAGCTATGAGTGGAGGTTCTTGTGCCTCACCTTCTAGTGGGTGGTGTCTTTATGGACGTGGAAGTTGCCCATCTACAGCCATCTACCTTTGTTCTTTGAAGCTAGAATCCTACTGAAATACTTACCTACCCATGTTCCCTGCATTGCAGTGAGTCACAGAAACACTGGCCTCTCAAGCTCTGGCTGTTAAATCCACTTTTCTGCATCGCAGGGAGCTCCATCACAGAGTCATCTGCAAAAAAGATTCAGCTCTCGATGAGATCAGTCGCATGGTTTTTTGTTTATCCTCTCCTGTTGAGAGGCTGTTTCAGAATCTCATAATTTTGTTGGTTAAAAGTCCAATAACCTTTGCTTGACTCTGCTGGCAGGGGAAATAAAACTGAAGTTTTAAACTAACCACTGTTTTTGAGCATTTTCTGCCTCCTTGGAGTTTAACTCCTCAGCACAGGCAAAAAATCATGTCTCCTTTCAGCTTCGTCTGCTGTGCTAAACAAAGCTCTCTTAGCTTCTCAAGACAGGTTCCCTGCTTCCCTGATCTTCTCTGTATCTGCTTTAGTGGACTTTTTATTGACCACAGGAGGTCAGAATTATTCTGGATAAAGTCTTATTACTGTCTTTTAGGAACTCATTTTGAATTGTTTGAACAACCCAAGGAGTGTCAGTTAACAGATCCGACAGAATTGTTAGTGGCACAACCTCTTTACCTCCCTGGGATGGAGTTTGATTTCCAGGAGAGGATTATACTTCTGTTTCCTAAAGTGTTACTAGATTATTTTTTATTTATTTATTTTTAATAACAGTTCATATAATCTTTCATTGAAGACCTGAGATCCAAAACTGAAGAATGCTCATTGGAGGGCAATTAAACTTAAATCCTACATAGATCCAGAAAGGATTCTTAGATTCTGATCAGCTTTTGTTTCTGCTTCTGTGATCCACAAAGGGGCCATGGCTGGTAGTCCAGGAGCCATGCTAGGAAGGAACTTCCTCATGGGAAGTTTTGTCCATAATTATCCATCACAGGGTTTTTTGCAGAGCATCTGGCTCTTGCCCCTCCTGGAAAGAGGACACTGGTCTAGAAGGACCACTGGCCTGATCTGGTATGGAAATGTAAAGTTGTAGTTTCTTATTAAATAATTAAGATTGATACCTCCACAAATTTCCTTTGAGATTCTACACTTGAAAAAAAACATCTTCTGACCTCTTTATCTCCATGGATTTTAGACTTCCCTGGGCACCACATCACAAATATCACACCCTCTGGGAGAAGTCGCTTGGGGTAGTTCCAGAATTTGTTTCCTAGTCCGACTTAACTCCTGCTTAAAACAGGTTTTGCTGTAGCTGATGCCAGGTCAAGGAGAGAGAAGGGTGGGTGGTGTGTCTATCTGCATGGGGTTTTTTTTTGCCTTGTTCATTTTTAGCCTCTCTGCTTTTCACTTCCCTTTTATACTGAGCAGAATCAAAGCAATTTCTGGTTTTCTAGTAATCATGCAAAGTGGTAATCTTTCTATATAAATTTATTGATTTTTACAGTGACAGCAAGGTCTAGAACCATGATACAGAATATCCAGTTGGTAGAACTGTTGCTCAGAAATAGATCTTTCTCTACACTTAAAGAAAGAAAAAACAAACAAACCTCTAAATTTATAAAATAATAAGATGTACGGAATAGGCCCTGGTGTTTCTTTCCCTGTCCAGCTGACTGATAGAACTTCAGAGGGTACTTTGGTTGCTTTCCTGAAGGTTAACCAAACAAGTACAAAGAAGCCTGATAGAGCTAATAAGAACAAGGTCAAAAAAAGGTTAAACTGAGACAGCATACAGTAGACCATATTTAGTTGACAAAAGTAGTATGTGTTTGTAAACAGAATTAGAAAACAGAAGATACTAATTTAATAGATTTAGTGCTTACTGCAAAATAAAATGCTTTATATACTTGAATTTCACAAGAAGAGCCCAAGGATGAAATGGTAATTTCTCCTAGATCTGAGATGTTTTCCATGAAGATTTTCATAGGAGAATGAAGATTAAAAGATGTTTCAGACATCCCTCAAGAACTGAACTTCACATCTGCCACTGCACAGAGAGGCTGTGCACAATTAACCCTCGTCTTGAGGCTTAACACGGAATATGAGATGTAGTCAGCTAATCATTTATCCCTGTATGTGGTTATATTCTGGGTCCTGTTTGGGGAAGTATTTTAATTCCTATTTGAAGCCTTCTGTTTCCCTCTTCCTCTAGATGACTTGCACAGACCACTGCCTACAGAAGTATTTAAAAATGACACAGAGGATCTCCATGAGATTCCAGGAGTACCACATTCAGCAGAATGAAGCTCTGGCAGCTAAAGCAGGACTGCTTGGCCAACCTCGTTAGCCGAGCGCACTCCCTCCGTTCAGACTTCACAAGCAGTGCCAGTGTTCACTGGGCAAGAACACATTTTGGATTTCCTACTGTCAGGATGTATGTCCAGCAATTCAGCAGAGAGTTCTCTAGGTGCTGTTCAGACAGTGGAAACCACGAAGGGTTAAACAAGAAGTTACTCACGGTGGACTGGCAATGGAGTCTGTTCCTGAGCTCCTTTTCACTCTACAGCGGAGTAATATTGAGACAAACTTTTCCAGGGCCCGCAGACCGGTGTGTTTGGGTGGGAGGGTTAAACTTCCTTTCTGCCAGCACTGGTTCAGATGGAAAAAAAGTGTAATATGGGAAATAAAATTTTTTTAATTTAATTCAAGTAAAATAAATGGGAAGTATACAGTTGTATGTATGTTCTTTCCAGAGATAAATTTTTAGGACGCTGCTTGAGAGCAGTGTTTTGTTTTCTGCTGTCTCATTCCTCAGCCACTACAGAGTTCTGTTCATTCATAAATGGTTTGGGTTGGAAGGGACCTTAAAGCTTATCCAGCTCCAACCCCCCTGCCATCAGCAGGGACACCTTCCACTAGACCAGGTTGCTCAAAGCCTCATCCAGCCTGGCCTTCAACACTTCCATGGAGGGGGCATCCACAACTTCCTTGGGCAACCTGTTCCAGTGTCTGACCACCCTCACAGTGAAGAACTTCTTCCTAATATCTCATCTAAACCTCCCCTCTTTCAGCTTAAACCCATTTCCCCTTGTTTTGTCATTAACTGCCCTTGTGAAAAGTCCTTCCCCAGCTTTCTTGTAGCCCCTTCAGGTACTGGGAGGCCGCTGTAAGATCTCCCCAGAGCCTTCTCTTCTCCAGGCTGAACAGCCCCAACTCTCTCAGCCTGTCCTCACAGCAGAGATGCTCCAGCCCTTGGATCATCCTTGTGGCCTCCTCTGGACTTGTTCCAGCTGCTCCATGTCTCTCTTGTGATGGGGGCTCCAGAACTGGACGCAGTATTCCAGGTGGGGCCTTACAAGAGTGGAGTAGAGGAGGAGAATCACCTCCCTTGACCTGCTGGCCACGCTTCTCTTGATGCTTCACTGCTGCTTTAAGTTGCTGATAACGGAATTAGTGACTTTGTTTCAGCAGCTGGGGATTTGTGAATGTTATTTCTCTTAATTTGAGAAGAACTTCCTTTGAGCCACCTTGACAGAGCCTCGTGATCATTCTGACTCTCCTGGAGTGCTGGATGGTGATGATGGCTGATGGAACATCGAGCCAAGGGTGGTTCTAAATGGCAGATGACTGCTGTATCTCATGAGTTCGGGTAGGCAGGGATGCCCTGCCAGCTTATCCCTAGGTTATGTTTGCCTCATACTTCACCAGATCATTTACAAGGGACATGAGTGTGTCAGCAGCACCTGTGCTGAAGGCAACACCTAGGAAACAAAGGACACGAGTGTGTCAGCAGCACCTGTGCTGAAGGCAACACCTAGGCACTCCTTGTTTCCCTGAGGGAACCCCAGAGATCCTCCAAAAACCCAGCTGCTTTGCCTGATGGAAGGATGATGCACTCCGAGCACTGAGCTGCCTGGCAGTTTTCTCCTTTAAATGTGTGAAGACCAACAGAAAGGACAAGGTATGCACAACATTTTATTCTGCTGGATGAGTCCAGAGAGAAGTTTGCAGCTGTTCTGATGGAGTGGATTTGATTTAGAAAAAGTCCTTTGAAAGGATCTTGAGAGCTGAAATCCTGCAGTCAGATTGTCGGTACAGCTAACAGGCACATTTGACTTCAGTTACAACTTACAAAATACTGTGACAAAAGGAACTGAACATCAGGGTTACCTTACTGATTCTGAGATTTCAAGTGATAGAGACTGAAATGAAGCTATTTCACATCAGCTGCCAGGTTCTGTTGTTGGGTAGAAAGGCAGGCTGTGTGGTCTCCAGGCTGTGTGGTCTCCCTGACCGCACTGCAGTACAGCTGCCGCTTGCGCTGGACACTGCTCTGCTTGTTGCCGTTTGAAGCTGCCCCAACTCTCCACAGAAATTTGTTCATGTGCCTTTCAGAGGTGGAAGAAACAAGTATGTTCCTACAGTCTCATTTCCATGTGTTTTGTACCAGCCGTATCACAGCTCCTTCCTACATAGCCCATGCCTGTTACCTTGGAGATGGCCAAGAAGTAACTCGCAAATAGTAAAGGTTAAAAAAGAGCCCAAATAAGGCAGCAAGTCTCCAGACAGGCTGAGAGAGTTGGGGCTGTTCAGCCTGGAAAAGAGAAGGCTCCGGGGAGACCTTCTAGTGGCCTCCCAGTGCCTGAATGGGACCAACAAGAAAGCTGGGGAAGGACTTTTCATAAGGGCAGTTAATGACAGAACAAGGGGAAATGGGTTTAAGCTGAAAGAGGGGAGGTTTAGATTAGATATTAGGAAGAAGTTCTTCACTGTGAGGGTGGTCAGACACTGGAACAGGTTGCCCAAGGAAGTTGTGGATGTCCCCTCCCTGGAAGTGTTCAAGGCCAGGCTGGATGAGGCTTTGAGCAACCTGGTCTAGTGGAAGGTGTCCCTGCTGCTGGCAGGGGGGTTGGAACTGGATGATCTTTAAGGTCCCTTCCAACCCAAACCATTCTATGATTCTATGAATAACAGACCAATAATGTCCAGATTGTTTGCTGCAATTAGGCCGGAAATACTTGGTTGGACTCAATGTTAAAGGTTTTTTCCAACCAAAACGATTCTATGATTCTATGTTATGGATAATTAGAAATCATATATCCATAGTAAAGATTTAAGGTTTTCTTTAAAGCAATCTTTTTGTTAGACATTTGGAAGCAATGCATGATTGAAAGTATCCCATTTTCCAATGTATTTTACAGTGCAAAGAGAACAGTTGCTGAGAAAAGTGACTAAAGAGTTTAAGTGATGAGAGTGGAGGATGTTTGTGTCTTCTGGGCAAAGCTCTACTGGGCTGAAGTGAGGGGGGGTTAAAAAGAACAAAAAATGGGGCTTTCCCTCATGTTTCAGTGTTTGGGGATTTGGAGGTAGGAAGATGTTAAATATTTGTTAAGCCAGATTTACTGTACTAAAGGTTAAGCAAGTGTTTGAGGGGCTTAGTTAATAAATTACTTACTTCCAGGTTCCCCAGTTTCCTTTTACTCCAGTTTTAAAGCTGTTTTAACTCACTGTTACCCAGAGAAAACATCTATTCTTAAACTCTGATGGGATGTCACATCCTCCTGCCCCTCCCCGTGCTTGCTAAAATAGGTGGGATGAAAAGTGTCACTGAAAGTATGAGCATCGTGTTGATAGCTGCTACCCCGATGGGAAGGTGGCCAGACAAAAACTCCCAACTTCCACAGGAGCATCGTGCTTGCAGTGACTGCAGTTTGTTAATTACAACTGTTTCAAAGCTAATTAGAGGTGAAAATAAGTCACAATGCTGCTGCACAAAGATGCAGGTAAGGATGGGAGTCACTGAATCACTCTTTGGGATAACCAGTTTTTTTCCTGGCACTACTTAACTCAAAAAAGATGTTGTGGTCTTTCTAGATCTTTCAGTCCAGGTGACTGACTGAAGAAAGATGATACAAGTATGTTTTAGCTTGGAAATAAAATGCATCCACTTACCTAAAGCATCCAGGTGGTGCAGAAAGCAATGGTGAGAACTTTCTTAAAAGGTTGACTTGCTTTGCTGAGCTTTGACTTCCCTTTGCTTCCTGGGTGTTAGCGTGTCCTGATGGCTGGCTCCAATCGTCTTATTTAGCAAAGAGCACCCCCTAAGATTTTGTTAACAGGATTTCTGGGTTGAGAATGATTCATGACACAGAGTTTCAGTGCCTCTTGCACGTGTAAGCTGGAACACAGGAGGTTCCGCTTCAACTTGAGAAGAAACTTCTTTACAGTGAGGGTGACAGAGCACTGGGACAGGCTGCCCAGGGAGGTTGTGGAGTCTCCTTCTCTGGAGACATTCAAAACCCGCCTGGACGCCTTCCTGTGTGATCTCATTTAGGTTCCTGCTCTGGCAGGGGGGTTGGACTGGATGATCTTTCGAGGTCCCTTCCAATCCCCAACATTCTGTGATTCTGTGTTTTATCAGCTATTCACATGTATTGTCCACACGTTGCAGCTCGTCTTTCCTCTTTGGAGCAAGATCTCCCAGGACCCAATTCTCAAGAATATTTAACTGCAAATGGAAGAATCAGAATTTCTACAGTGCCTGGGTGGATGTCTGCTGTGGTGGCTGGGAGTGTCTGCAAAGGCAGGACAGGCTGCAGCGGAGTGTTCCAGCCTCCGTGACAGCTTAACCTGGAGTGTTCTGCATCCCTCCTCCTGAATCGCTTCGAGTTTGCCTGGTACAGTGAAATGCACAGCCAAAGCCAGAATAAAACTGCAGGGATACGACCTGGTTGGCATCATGGAGACATGGAGGGGTGGCTCCCATGACTGGAGGGTTGGAATGGAAGGATACAGGCTCTTCAGGAGGGACAGGCAGCGGAGATGAGGAGGGGGTGTAGTCCCCTATGTCACGAGCCAGCTGGAGTGTATGGAGCTCCACCTGCAGATGGATGAGGAGCTGACCAAGAGTTTATGGGTCAGGATTAAAGGGAAGGCAGGGAAAGGGGATGTGACAGGTAGGGTCTGCTACGGGCCACCAGACCAGGGAGACCCAGCAGATGAGGCAGATAGCAGCAGCCTCACGTTCACAAGCCCTGGTCCTCATGGGGGACTTCAACCACCCCGACATCTGTTGGAGAGACAACACAGCAGGGCACAAACAATCCAGGCGGTTCCTGGAATGAGTGGAGGACAACTTCCTTCTCCAAGTGGTTGAGGAACTGACAAGGAGAGGTGCCATGCTGGACCTTGTTCTCACCAACAAGGAGGGGCTATAGCAGGGAATGTGAAGTTCTCAGGCAGTCTTGGCT